AACAGTAAGGTGGTTTTGGAGTTTGTGTGATGGGAAGATTGAGCGTCAGCATGCAGTAAGTCATTTGAAAGACTGTAGTCTGAGAATGGTATTTACACACTGAGGTCAGGCCATGGAGAGAAGAGGTATATTTGGGCTCTGTAATTGCTTAAATCTCATTCCAGTCAAAGAACCCCGGAAGAGCTTGTCGAGCCATGAGCTGCTTGGAATTTGTCCTCATTTGATGTGCTGCTACGTTTAATTGGGATAAGTGGTCTATATTTACTGTACACCAAAACAGACTACAGTATATAGTATACAAACCTTGATAATCGTGAACTCCAGTGAAGCTGTGAGAATTAAAATATTTCAAGAGGTTGTATGGTATGCAGTTTGTCTGATGATGGCTTATAAGTGCCACCCAACTAAGGTGCAGCTGAAATGACTATTATGTTATTTACTTATGGCTAAGATGTTTTTTAACTCTGGACCTATTGGAGTGGGCTGTATATCTTCCATTCATACTACTCATTAGGGGAGGGAATCTTTAGGCACCTCACGATTCGATTCGATTACGATTCAGAGGGCTGCGATGCGGTTATAAAACAATTATCGATGCATCTCGATGCATCTTTTTTTCTCTATACAGGATTTCTATCTTCCTACTGTCTAAAAACTTAGTAGTTTTAAAGCAAAGTATTTGTAATGATCCATACTGTAAATGCATTATGGATCATTACAAATACTTTGCTTTAAATATCTAAAATATATTTTATTAATAAATCAAATGGAGGTGATGTGGCAAGTGAACTAGAAGGCTCTCATTCAGAGACGCTGCTGCCACTCATCTGCGATAAAATGCGCTGTTAGGGTGAATTGAGATCCAGTGGTAATGGGTGTCCACACAGCACGTTACAGCCATCCTTCCCGTTTTCTTTAGTGATCTTATAACTTCGGTTTTGGTCTCGTTGTGGCCCCCCCCCCCATTTTCGAGACTGGACGTTGAATCTCGGCTGACTGCGAACAGACAGCAGACAGCAGGTCACATAGCCCCGAGGTCTGGCCTCGCCGGTAGCGAACGAAAAAACAGAGATTAAGACGAACATTTGGAGGACTTATTCGCATTTATAAGCAGCGCGGTTGGTTAAATCTGCAATGAGAGACTGTCTTTCTCTAAAAAGTTGCGAAAATGAAGTCGCTTCTCTTTCGAATTTTCCCGTTCCACCTTAAATGGTCCACCTTGGAACAGGAAAATTAGAACGAGAAGCCAATGAGAAGCGACTTCAGCCTCGTAAAACAGCCGGATGCTGAGACATTTTACAAGAAACTCTTCTAGTTTTGAAGAGAAGTTTTCTGGCGGAGATGGGAGGAAAGCGGCTGTAGGCGAAGCTTAAAGCAGAGCAAAGTAGATCTGCGCTCTCGTTTATATTGTTTAGCCTATACTAGGACATTATCCCATACCAAGACATGCTGGACATTAAGTGTTGAGGCTCCCAAGGTGGTTTGATTTTTGTTGAAAGGACAAAATGTCTCTTCTTATCATTTGTGTTGTGACTCCTGATCTAACCTGGCTTTAATGCACAGGGTGCCGGTCGGATTTCTCACTCGTCCAGTTGTGTTTTTGTTATGTGCCGCCACAGACTGTCCGGGCGCTGCACTTCCGCACTTCCAAGTTCCGCCTTTTGTGTTCCGTCAACGTTACGTTTTAAATTAAATATTTAGAAAATCGATTTTTGACATTTATGAATCGATTCAGAATCATTCACGTCCGCATCGCGATGCATTTAAGAATCAAGTTTTTCCCGCACCCCTACTACTCATACTACTTGCTTGGTACAGAGAATGCAGCTCTCCTTTTGGCTCATATGTGCTGACATGCAGGTCCCTGTGACTCACGTTTTTATTTTCAACAGACGGTTTACTGGTTGATTTAAAAGGTATGAGAGGCGGCATTAAATTCACAGTAGTTTCATAAGCCAGACTTCTAACTGCTGTAAGAGTATGGTGGGTTTTGTTGCCTTTGAGGCTAATTGCCTGTAGCATTAATATGAAAAGGGGATCTGACTGATGCCTTTCATCAAACCTGAAAATATTTAATTTATTGTTTTTGCTTCTGAAGGCATACTGAATAAGTTTTAAATATGCGATGCTATGAACTTCACCGTGTTTGTGTGGCAACTAAATCTTGCTCCTAAAGCTCATTGCTGTCATGGTGTGAAGAGCAGGCAGCTGCTAGCAAAAGTTTGTCAACCATTAGATTGATGAGAGCCAGTGCATGGAAGCGCGTACAAACAGACATGTAGATATAGACATAGTTATGTACCTTTGTGGGCAGAACTTCTGAGACTGAGACTATAGATAGTTTGGCATAGTGAGGATTAGCTGTAGTATGTGTCTCTCATTCAGTCACACTGTAATTCAGGTCTGATCTTTATAAAGGGTCTAATCAGACGTGCTCATCTTGGATCAAATTCAACTGTCCCAAATCCTGTACATACTCCTGTGTCAGAAGAAAGGTTACTTCACAGGTGGTGTTTGCCCCAGTACAAACACTGTAAACGTACCCTCAAAGGAACAATGTGGTCCTTAAGGTCTAATACTGAAATAACTTTTAAACTTACATTACATTCCCTTTCTCATGCTAAAGGGGCATATTTGAACCTTTTCCTAACTGTACATTTTAAAGTAGAAAAATAAAATAAGCCTGGAGTCAAGACAAAAACTGGTGCAATTACGTTCCCTAAAGAAAGTGAACAAAAGCACAACAAATTTATAAACATAATCCTGTCCTGGAATATTTCATAAATACCCTAATTTTCTAATACAAGAAGCACAAATCAAAGACTTGAGCAGTAAATGCAACAAAATTACAGCGGCTTTACTGAGAGTATAAGAGTTATGCAAATATGATCAGCTTTCACAAAGCAAGTTAATGCTCAGAGCATATTTGTGTGCTGTGTAATTACAGTATTGCCCGTTTGTGCTGTGAATGCATCTAGATCATTTTGACATGTCATGTGACATGGCATAAAATTCTGGCTAACATCCAAGGAACACTTTACAAGGGAACATTTAATTAAGTGCATCCTGCCAACTCGAAGTTCCTCCTGGATATAATTTCATTTCTTGGCATTCTGGTCAAAGCGTGTGTGTGTATCTATCTATCTATCTATCTATCTAATCTATCTATGTGTGTGCATATATATATATATATATATATATATATATATATATATATATATATATATATATATATGTATATATGTATGTATGTATGTATGTATATGTATATGTGTATATATATGTATATGTGTGTGTGTGTGTGTGACTAATAATTGACTAATGTCTGTGTGGGCCAGCGTGGCAGGGCCTTTACATCAAGTTGTTGATGAAAGACTAAAAGTCTATTGTTTGTTGCCAGGACTCTCTTGAGCATCCTATTTGGTCTAATAAATGAACATACACATTTTTTGAATACTGCAAGGGTGTCCTTGCTAATTTATTTTGGCCTCTTCTTGGCTTCAGGCTTATTAGGTCTTCAGAGCATGTGCGAATTTGAATACTGTAAATCACACCACTGGAAAGTGAGAGCTCACATCATTGGTTCACTAATTTGCTTCTCAAATTCACTAATGGTACACTTTTCAATAATACTTTGACTTTAGAAAGCGTGCGTGTGATGGTTTTGCATCTTAAATAACAGCAGTCATTTTACAGCCTGCGGTTGTTCCACTCACTGCCAACAGGTGGCAGCATATTCATGTTAAAATTTCAAGCATGTGTGCGCTTGCAGGTTGGGGTTCAAATTACAGAAAAATGATCTATGTATTTTTATGAAAGTCTTCAGTATTTATGAGGCTATTCATGAAGACTTGACATATTAAAATAAGTTGTATGTCCCACTGAAGATTGAGGTTGTTTAGTTTTGTGTGTTACACTCGGAGCGAAATGCATTGTTCCTCCTCTAACCGGAATCTCCTTATGAGGAAGCCGCGTTCTGAATATATTATGCGTGTTGGGTCGACTGAGCTTGAAGTGGAGGCGTTACCGCATAAATTAGTCAAATCCGTTTCTCCCTCTACCAATAGGGTGCTGAGCTGCGCTGTTTTTCTTGGATAAATTATGCAAATAGCCCAGGCTGCAGATTTTCACCAGAGCAGGGATGAGCTGACCTTGGAGATTCTTTGTGCAGCCGTGGTGGATGTATGGTCTCCTGAAACGCAGGGCTTTCTTTACGAAGGTCCCCTTTTCACGCCGTTTGACCGCTGAAACCTGGGGCAGAGCTATGTAACACTCGCTCAATCCAAAGAGCTTTTATTTTCTCGCCTCCGCGTCGGTATATATGGATGAAATAGCATGAATTCTCAGTGCTACTCGGTGGCGATGGATCTTGGTGTATGTCAGCTGAGAAATTTTTCAATATCGTTTTTATCATCGTTGCTGGGAACCGAAACTTCGTCCGTGAGGCTCGACAATAGGTAAAATAATAAACGTGTGTTTTAAGAGGGAATGCCTTAATCTCTAGGTGGTGTAGCAAGAGATGCACCACATTCACTGTATGCAGCCTTCAGTGATTGTCCACCTGGTCCTAAGGTTAAAATAATACAACAACGTGGTTAATCACTTTAATCGAAGCCTGCTGGTTTTGTTTTAATCGAGTTTCCGTGTCCATTTCCATGCTAAATCAGTGTAGGCTAGACTGCTTGCCCTTGTACTCGATGCCTTTCCTCTTGATGCTACGTGTATATGTATATATGTGGTTAAAAATATGCAAATATAGTTTTGCAATTTGTTCTTTTTCTCCAGTTGTCTATTTTACGATAGATGCCCTTGGACACGTTTTTTGTTCTCGTAAATAGAAAGAGCAGTCAGTTAATAGCAGTGTCCTGTTAGCATCTCACGACCAAAGAGAAAATCTTTGTCTTAAATGTGTAGTATTTGTACACAGTGGGCTGCTGTGTTTTTGGCCTTGGGTTTTTACTCTGGGATTAATGATTTGCTTTGTTGGATTTGTTTTTCAGTTCTTCGGGTGCCAGTGTTGTGGCCATAGACAACAAAATCGAACAAGCAATGGTAAGTGTGCTTTAATTTCTTACTACACATAATAAAGCAGCTTTATCAGCTAAATCTGGTGGTACATTTTGATTGGTAATACTTACAGTCTTGTTTTAGCGTCCGCGGTAACTGAATGAATTACATAATCAACATTGGCACACCAGAGCAGAGCTCAGGCAGACATCGCCTTCTGCTCACGGCGCTTTGACGCTGCACTGTTCTTCCTAATGTCTTAGTTGGTCTCATTCAGGCATGTCGTTGTGTTGTAACTGGATACTGGCGTTAGAAGTGATGGAGCTCCGATATTTTCTCGGCAGCTCCTTGAATACAGTTTAACTCCACACGTTTCAGGAATTTAACGACCACTTCTTGATCGCGCGCGTGTGGTGGTTAACAGTTTAGAGCTAGCAGTTAGCTTTCCAGGTTGATATTGCTCGGATAGTAAACTAATGTGCTGAAATGTGTGGGGAAAACAGAGAATAGTTCAGTTGTGTCTGAATCTGTCTGAATGTGTGGACTCCGCTCACGCCACTCTGTGCTTCGTTACTGTTGCTAGGCAAAGCTCGAAGCTTTTACACCCAGTTAAAAATATCTCGGGCTCTGATTGGCTGGGCTCAGAGTGGGCCGGCCATTTTGTTATGTCGATGACGCTGTGCTGTAGTGAAGCCCAGTGGAGGTGTGCAGGTGGCCCCTCTCTGACTTCACTGAGCGCCCGGTCAGATTCACTCTGAGAGTTTCTCACACACTGCGATTGATTTATTTATATGTTGTAATAATTACAGTGTTTCCAGTCCACATTATCTATGCTGCACGTAGAGAAGTAGCTGGAATAGTGATGATATAAAACGATCAATGTACATTCTGTCAGAAAAAAAGGTCCAAAATTACCAAACTTAGAATGAAATCTTACATTAAAGGTTAAGAATGTTTTGTTTTTTTTCTATATATATATATATATATATATATATATATATATATATATATGTGATGTGTGATGTGTGTGTGTGTGTGTGTGTGTGTGTGTGTGTGTGTATATATATATATATATCTCCACATTTTCTAAGGTGCTTATCACACACAGACACCCACGCACACAAAAAAAGTTAATGTAATTCAAAGTTCATGTAATGACATTATACAAAGTGATTTTGGACTGTTTTCTTGATGCATAAATAAAAACACCAAAAATTGAGGTACACGGTTTTGAAACAGTGAAACGTATTTGATATGTGTTTGCTATCGTTCATATCTCTGATTGTACTGAACTCTGTATCCTCCAATGTTTATTCTTTGATTTCAGGATCTAGTGAAGAGTCACTTGATGTATGCTGTTCGGGAGGAGGTGGAGGTCTTGAAAGAACAGATCAAAGAACTAATAGAAAGAAACTCTCAATTGGAGCAGGAAAACAACCTGCTGAAGAACCTAGCCAGTCCGGAGCAGCTTGCACAGTTCCAGGCACAAGTTCAAAGTGGCTCACCACCATCATCCACACAGGGGGCGCAGCAGCCAGCCGTGGCCCAGCTCTCTGCACAGAACTCTGGACCCTCAGCATAGCACACAAGTGTTCCCTGTGATGGGGACTGAGTGGTTAACCGAACTGAAACAGACTGATGTTAAAGATCAAGTATGCCTCACTCACAGGAGGATTCTTTCAGAAAAATTTGCACATATTTAAAGTCTCAAAACTTGACAAAGGCTACAATGAGACGCTGTACACACTTACTGACAGTCCAGTACGTTGTTAACATGTTGGATATTGCCAAACTCCATGGACTGTGACTGTCAGTTGGGAGGAAAAATCAAGATGGACACAACTCAAAAGAATCACTGTGCCTGTGTCTAAAGGATTTTAAGTGATGTCGTTTTTCAGTGGTAAATCTGGCTTTGTAAGGGTGTTTCCATGCCTCGCTTACTTTTGTAGTGGAAATGCTGACCACAGTCTTATTTTTTTAGGCTGCAAAAAGCAAGCACTTTAATGATGACGAATGTGACAAGTCTTTGATGAACAACTAATCAGTGCAGCATCACGTATGAGGAAGGTGAATGAGATTTTGACCCCAATATTTGCATTAGTGTCATCATTATACCTGGGTGAATGAAGGGAGTAAAGTTGCCTAAGAGGAGATAATAATTTACAGTATTTAAGACTGAATTCATCTTTCTCTCTATTGTGGCTTCACAGCTGCTTTACCAGTGCAGTGGCACTCGCAGGAATCAGAGGAAAAAGGCAATGAGATGAGTTGAATGAGTGAAAGGGGGAAGGCTCTTGTATATTCTTGTATATTTAGTGTAAGTAATATGTAAAATAGTGATATTGCGAGAAACACTAAGAGACGCTATTTAGGTTGTACAAACTAAAGATGAGGTTGTTGGCTTGCCTGAGACATTTGACCATCTTTTTTATGCTGTTATACATGAATGGACGTAACAGTCTTAGAATATTTACATGAAAAAGACAACTACTCAACTTCTTGGCTGTGTTAATACCTACTGTAAACCACTGTTCACTTGAAGTTATTTGAAGTATATTGCACCCATGTGATTTCTGTTTCCATTTTGACAGTGAAGTAATCTGGAGATCAAACCTTTAACTTACAGTTATTCTGAATATCATTACAATCTGATATGCATTATTATTATTGCATTATATGTATAAGTTGTATGCTTAGGAGATAAGGTGTAAAATAGTTCAATTGCACTTCACAACTTTCAATAAAATGTTTAAGGAACAATGACTGAGAATATAAGGCTTATGTATGAATGCTATGCTGTGGGTTTCTTCAGAATCTTTAAGAACTGTAAGCAGAAACAACAGATTTGGCACCACCATGGTTATCAAAGATGATCACGTAAGCTCAACAAACTTCTATTTCATTTATTGTTGGCACTGGCTCATGACTTCAGTTGCAAAGCAAGAGTTTCATAAAACAGTTTTAAAGGCTGTGGTCCTGCTGTGAACAACTGGAGCTGCCCAGTCGGCGGCTCTTGCTTGATTTATCCAGTGAATTCTGAATAACGGCCAGTTTTGCTGTTTGGTGGCACGTTCCAATTTCTTTTGTTTCGTTTACCTAATATTGTACTTCCGCAGCCTCTGGAAAAACTCAGATCTGCTCTCTTGAAACAAAAAACCTGAGGGTTTTCTGTATTTGCAGAAGCAGAAGTGATACCAGACACTTCCCAAATGTGTAATTTATTTGAAAAAGTTCTTACAGGACAAATATAGAAACAGATTGTGGCACATAGTTAATGATCACAAAAGCACGCTATCTATTGCAGAAACAAATATGATCCATGATGTGACATAAGGGGGCAACGCCAGCCACAATGGTTCTGTAGAAAAGCACTTGTTCCTGTGGTCCTGGTACATTGTAAACAAGTGATTGACGATGTTCTGTACTGTACACAGGACTTGGCTCCTTAGCATACAGCTCACATTCAGAATCCTAAAGCCTCCAGGTTTCCCACAGATTGTGCATCACAGCCTTGGCTCTCATGGGCGTGTAAGGTAGAGGACGCGGACCGTGCTGGAGCTCATATGCCCATCCGGATGCTCTGAATGATCTGAAAGATGGCTGAGAAGAAACGAGAGAGGTAAGGAATAACTCACATCCAGGAGAGTTCCAACTCAATTACAGCATTATTTTGTCTCCATCACAGCATGCATGATGCCCTAACTGGGAGGTTTAAACAGCATACGAGTCGATTAATAAGAGTGTTAAATTATACCTGAACCACAAACAACAAATACGAAGAGTGCCAAAAGCCACGGCCCCACTGGATATTTCTCCTCTTGTGGTCGCTACAAGGTAATCAGAAAACAAGAAAATGGCCTTCAGCACAACAGAAGTACTACTGAACACTTGATTTCTGCATGTCTGGATTGGGTTATTTTCCCCTAGGATCTGAAAAAGGTACGCAATCTGTCAAACAGTGATTATTTCATTTGAGAAATCTGGCTTTATCATAGTTCTATTCAATTTCATTCATTTTGAAACTGTCAATTTGTGTTAAATTCACAGACATTACGCAAGTATTTGCTACACACTTAGATATCTATACATTTTTTTCAAACAAAATTTAGATGCCTCCTAAGCCCTGTGCACTTAACATCTTAAATTGTATCAGTCCCCCAAGTTTAGGTGCACTTTTAAACAACTCAGGTTTTAAAGCTGTAGCATTCACACCTGGGCCAGTATTCAAGCTTCTCAAAGTGGGAGTGCTGATCTAGGACCTGTTACTGTCATTGTAAATAAGAGAGGGATCTGATCTTAGATCAGAAAAGCTTTATGAATATGGGCCCTGACACTTGTTGCCATGTGTCCACTGGCTCCAAACAACTACTATGTGGTATGGTTGAAATGTGGCTGCTACTTTCCAGTGACTTTGACCTCTGCAATGTCCTTGGATTTAATGCATTTTCAGTGTGTCATCATTGAAAATAACAGAGAAATTGTCCCTAGAACAGTGGACATTACAATGCTACAGCATTCAGCCACTGAACAGTTATAGGCAAAGGTCTGAACACCCACTGTCAAATTATATATTTTGTAAAAATTAAAATAAGTTGACACAACCCTCAGGGAACACAATTAAATATGGCATTTTCATGACAAATTTGGTGTAAAATTTCTATTTTTTGCTTATTTTAACATTGTGGAAAAAACAGAATAAAATGTCCCATCATTTTTGCACAAGCCACATTATTTATTTTTTTCCAAAATATTCCAAAATTCAGAAAATCCAAACATGAATTCTGCATTAAAATGGGAAGCAGTATGTTCTCTGAAGTGGATGTGAACTAACTTTCACTTAGAAAATCAACAAAACGTTTTGAACTAAAATTTTAGTTAAATGAAACATTGATATTTACATCCTGCCTTATTATAACAAACTGACATTTTGGAGGATCATCACACAGTTAACTATAAAGATGACTGAACTCTGAAGAAGTTAAATGCAGTCAATGTTTTGTAACAGCCTGTTATGACTGGCTACTCTCCAGCATCTTATTCACTTACTCAAACACACTTAAGTGCCCAATGACATGATAATGAACTGTTATACGCTGGCAGCTCCAAGTTATTACTTGCTTTATTGCTCCCCATGAAGGAAAATGGAATGCAGCATGAAAAATGTGAAAACCATTTTGAAATTACACTATCAGTAAAAACATTTAGATACACCAACTAAAAGAACAAAAATATTTTCCACATTTTAGAATAACAATTTATAAATCAAAACTATAAAATAATTATAAAAGAATTATCTGGGAAACTTGGCCTTAAGAACACCCTTATGTTGAAAATAGGCTGAGCACTGGTTAGCTACCTGAAATCCACTTGGTGGAGTTTTTAAAAAAAATAATAAGTTTTTAAACTTGCTCTGGAAATAAATTCAAACATCTTCACATTTTGCATTTGGCTTACAAACAAATTAAATGTGTTTAAATAAACCTTTAGATAAAAATGTATTTACAATCACGTGCATAACATTCAATCGGGTGTGTCCAAACATTTGACTGGTAGTTTATGTAAACAGAGGAAGCCTTAGTTCAGGCCACAACACAAAGGAAAGGACCTCTTAAAATACAGCACTATCTTACAAGCAAACATTACTCAGCACTTCACAGACACCATAAAAACACAGCCAAAGACAATAAGAGATAGAACCAGCCTGCTGGTACTTGAACGGTGCTAACATTGCTGGTTATTGTTCATATTTAGAATGAAAATACCTGTGAGACAAAGGACTGTCTGGACCTGGATTTCTTGTAATTAGGGACCCTGAACTGACAGCCTGAGGGCAGACAGCTGGAAACTGAATGTAAACCGGGTGATATCCGTCTAACAAGATACTGTCTGCGTCTATGTATTTAATAATTTTTTAATAACATGGCTGAGACACACTGGACATCCATGGTGTGACAATCCCACTGGAAATGGCATCTCTTCTCTCTTAACGAGAAAGATTGATTCTAATAGGGTGGAACATGGAGTCCAGGTGATAGCGTTGGCTGGCAATCGAGGAACTGAGGCAAGCACCATACAGTGTGTTCAGTCCCCTCTCTTGCCTTTAGCTTTACAGTAAGGCAGCAGTGCCACTTGCACTTACACCATGAAATGTGTCTTTTTAAGAGGTAAAAACTATCTGTGACCTGTTTGATTTTGGGCTAAAGTCTATGGTAACCATGCAAATTCAACAACACCTGCCACACGGATAAAACAACACTGTTCACCTGCACTGTGTCTTAATGGACAACATATTTCATTTCAACAAGTCTCTGACTATGTACACCTCTTACTAGTTGCCATACTGTATTGTCAGCCCTCACTGTAATGTCCAAACAGTTATGTAGGCCTAATTACGCTGAACGTGGCCATATGTATTGCCACATATGAGAGGGCGTGACCACTGGCTTGCACTGCAGTTTACAAAAGCCTTATGTACAAATGCATTTATTTCAGCCCTTCAGCTTAGGTTTAGTATCACTACTGCATTGACAGCTGAACAGAGGCCTTTAGCAAAAAGCCAATAAGGTTTGTGCGAAACGACTGCATAATTTAACCATTCTCTGGCTACATCATCTGGAATAGAGTAACCTACCACTAGGACTAATAACCTGATGTAGACGTCAATAATCTGATGAAGACTATGATGGACTCCTAATGGCTCCTCAAACGACTATCAGGCTGTATGGATATTAAAACTTTCTATCTGGAAAACCTAAACAGGCTTTGTAGGCACGAACAGTGACTTAATAGTAAGCTCGGTTTAACGCCGTCGTGATAAACGAGTGATGACAGATGAATGCCAAATCACTAGCTGACTAACGTTATCGCTTTCAAAAACAGACATCTGAGCACGATATCCTGCTCAATACCGACGAATTATCACAGAGCACATTAAAATCCACGTCTTACCAGCGTCTTAGCAACGTTGCCCCTCTGAGTGATGTTTTTGCTGTGCTTCTCGTTGGCCATCCGAATCCTTTGTTTGGCTACCATCTTCCGTTCCGATTAGGCGGATCAATAACTCGACACCGTAAAAACCACACCGTATAGCTTTATGTGTGGAGATGCTTAACCTCTATTTCTAGCACCTGCTCCCCGAAAAGCCAGATAGAAGAGGGAAGAGCGCCTCCATAAAAAAAACGAGTGAAGGGGCGAGCAAGACACTAACTGAAGCTCTCCTTCATTTCTCGGTTCTAGCCTTCCTAGCCTTCTGCTCATTACCCTGGCTGACCAGTTCTGTTCTTATTATAATTCTTAGAGACGGGCTGTTCTGAACCGGTGGAGTTTCACTCTTGAAATAGAGACACATCAGCTGTATGAATCACCAGCCCTCTAATTTAGTTAGCTAGCCCGGCATTGTCCTACAACATTTTACCACAGAGGTGACGTTATTACTTTAATGTGTCGTTGCTCTTGTGGATAAGCAGTGGCGTGCCTGTGGCAGAAGTTTCCCCATGTGTTGGGAAAACGATTTATGTTCGATTATCTTGTCTCTGTGATCGGTATACGTCACGCCGAAAGGAGATTTCCACTTGTTGTGAAGGAGTGAAATAAATCAGTTGAGAATAGTGTTTCTGCAGCAGAGCTCTAAAGAGATAAGAACGGTTGCTTAGCAACTGCATTGAGGCTGTGTGAGCAGCATCTGCCTTTACAGTGCAGGAAGCTAATTCACTGGCCAAAGGAATGCACATTACAACATCACCAAAAAGAAAAACTGCATTTTATCACACACATAATCAAGCACAATGCTCTCACACTTAGAGGAAAGCAGCTATAAAGCTATAAAACAGCTAATATGGTGTCATTTTGAATGAATCACACTCACAAACGACTAGCCTGTCCCAGCTAACCAATTAGCTTTGCTGTTTAAAGCTTTAAATTGTGGTTCATCACTGATTTTAGTCTTCACAGCTGGCATTTAGCCTGAACATTGCATATTTTGAGCTTTACAATGGCGCATGTGATGGTTTCTCCTGCTAAGATATGCCTCCCTGACAGCATTAGTATTAGTTTCCCTAAAAGACCTGTAGTTTCATTTTTAGGCGAAAATCTGAAACTATCATAAACTGTCTCAGGCAGCGTATTTGTACCCATTTCTTGAGTGAGGTAGCTTTTTAGAGGCATCTTAAGGCAACTTCACACGTTTCCTATCACCACAAGTCAACAATTCTGACTCAGTAAGTTTCTCTACAACAGAGCATTTCACATCAAATATTCTTAATGACTTTGTTTACATGTTAATGATTTAATAATTTTGAAGTGGAGTACCCCAGTAAGCAGAAATACTAAAGAAAGTGTGTATTGCAGCAGCAAGCCTGTACTGCCAGGTCTAGGGCTACTCGCAGATGGAATTCTCATTACAGTGTAACCAAAAAGAAGAAGGATTGGACATGATTATACATGATAGACTTTGTTATCCTTTACACACACATATCTGTCTATAATGAGGTCCCTGCCCTCAGAGAATTGCAGCTTCAAAGGCAGTCCCCCTTTATGTCTCATGCTAGTGCATTAAGTTAGAGGCTTATTCACTGTCTCATAATACTGACTGGTTGCCCCTTTCCCCTTTTTATGTAGCAGCCAACATAGCAGCACTAGACTGGGATCACACTAATTATAAGGTCAGACATTTTCCTCTTCTTTTCACCACTGAGTTATTCTCTTGGTTTTTGTGTTTATTTGTCTCAAGATATGGCACATGGTTTGAATTCTAGGTCGCGTTACTTCACACAGAAAAACAAAACCAGCAAGAAAACAGATGCATCAGACAAGGAGAGGAGTAGGCAGTCCGATGCCTTCTGTCAGCAAGTAAAAGTCACTCAGTAGTTGGTAACTCATCCACTGTTGGAGCCACAAATTCTGTTTTTCTCTCGCTGTCACAGATTTCTTTTTCACACGTCCACAAGCATTATTTTTCCCCAGAATGCAGAAGCTCACTGTGAACAGGTGGGCATCCACATCCTTCTTCTGCTTTTGCTCCTCTCTTCCCTCTCATCTGCCCTCAGCACAATGGCCTTCTGTCTCAAGTCCCTGAACACAACACAGGCATCAAAACAAGATCATTGCCCTATCTGTTTGTACTTTCCCAGGAATATTCCCCATTAAGTTTCAACAAAAGACTCTCAGTTCTCTTGAGAACATTTCATTTTGTCTTCAATCATTGTGTTTGTGAAAATTGTCTCTGGCTAAGAATTTATCTCCGGCAGGCTCCTGTAGCACAATCCAGTCGCCTGACTGAAAGTACGCCACTGTGGCCGGGTGGCAAAAACCCATGGAATATTCAAGAATGTTGTTTTTGAGCTGAAATTGGAGGAAGTGTCTGACCTAGATTCAGATCTGTTTACCCTCAAATTACCCCCCATAATTATGCTCTTAATCTCAAAGAAATACATCTGTGTCCTCTGCAAGTAATGTTCAGGTAAGGAAAACATGCTAATCCAAGCAAGCAAAAAAGTGGTATTGCAACTTTGAAACTTAAGGCCTGTCAAAAAACTGACAACATGTCATGAATAGTTAGATGTGAAGCAGATAGAAATGTCAGAGTGCAAAAAACAGCATACCTGCTGTGCTTACTCACAAATACACACCCACAAACAAACAAAAACAGGTCGGTCATTGAGAGCATCATGCTGAAACAAACAGCATTTGATCACTTCAGGAAAAAAAGCAGTGTTGAAAGATGACTTGCATTTAATGTTTTCATATTTTCAGCTGATAGTTTATATTAAACTGAATAATGATAGTACTAATTAAAATCATACAAAACAGGCCCAAATACAAAAAAATGTTTAAAAAAAAAAAGACCTTTAGCAGTTATCTGAAACTGTCATGGCCTAGCAGAGTGAAGGTAGTGATTGATGTGAAGAGAGTGATTTGGAGATTCCCCCCACTCTCATATCTTTCATCTTTTATGCAAATTTGATTACAGGAGATAATCTATATCCTTTCCAGAGTAATCAAGAATGCATTGCCAATGCATTACAGTATTTGCCGTGGGCTATACCGTGCACTTGATTAGGAACACCTGTACACCTACTCATTCATCTTTTTATCTAATCAGCTAATAGTATGGCAGCAATGCAGTGCTTAAAATCACATAGATACGGAAACACCTTTTTAATGAGAGAGGCCAACGGAGAGTGACAATACTGGTTTGAGCTGACAGAAAGGCTATGGTAACTCAGATAACCACTCTGTACAATTGTGGTAAGCAGAAAAGCACCTCAGAATGCTCAGCATGTCGGACCTTAAGGAGAATGGGTACAACAGCAGAAGACCATGTTGGGTTCCACTTTTGTCAGCCAAGAAAAGCTGCACAGGTTCACCAAAACCAGACATTGGAAGACTGGAAAATCATTGCCTGGTCTGATAAATCTTGATATCTGCTGAGGCACTCAGATGGTAGGGTGAGAATTTGGCAAAAACAGCATGAACTCATGCACCCAATCTGCCTTGTGTTAACTGTCTAGGTGGTGTAATGGTAATGAAGGGAAAGAGAAACATTTCAACCATGCAATAAGTCATTCCTAAGACAGAAAAGGTTATGTATATGCTGCCTATTGTCTGAAACATTGTTTAATGATAGTTTTGAGATATGATTGTGCCCTAAAACATGCCTTTTAAATCCATTCATGGCAGAGAGGTACATGCAGAGAGTTGTAAGGCAAAATAGTACCCACGACCCTTGGTTCCTATCACCCCCAGTGTAAAGCAATACGTTTTTTTCTACAATGAACCGTTTCACATCAAAATACTCTGAATTACTTTAAGATGCATACTTAGCAAGTCATTCCTAATCCAGGTGTATCACCATGACAAGACGAAGATACAAAGAATACAAACAGCAACAAATGGATGAACCAATGTCAGGATAAGTTAGCAAACGAAGGTGAAGCTGTCTGTTCTTGTTTGGACCTGGCACATCCTCCTTTGTTCCACTGGAGTTACATCAGCCAGTGCCAGGAGAAGTACAGAAGTAGTCAACATGTATTTTTGTGGGCAAGAGCAGGTTGTGTGAGCCACGTTCCTCCCTCAAACCAGCCAAATTAAGCACAAGCATACGTACAACACAGTCAGCTGGGATTTGGACATGTGAAGCTCCAGCAGATATTTAGGTCATGATGGAAAAGTGGGTTAAGTGCTTCCGCTGGGCTCTGGTGTACCTCCTCACTCTTTCTTTCTCTGGAGGCTAGTGGAGGTGCTTTGTTAGCCCAGCACTGTTTCAGCACGAACTTTGTGGGGGGATACCGTACACTTTTCCCCACTGAACAAGCTGAAGCTCAGAGATCTTTCACAGCTCTGTTCCCAGCACCATCTGGCTCTTTTGTCACCACACGGCCGTCTGGGAGCTATTGTGTCACCTCTGTCTCTCTGGGACAGTCAAATTACAGGTAGCCTGTCTGAGAGGGCTAAGACGGGCTGATTTCTTTGTAGAATGCTGATTGGCCTGGATAATAAGTAAACTAAGAAGTAAATAGGCAAGTCTGCTGATGTACAGCATGGTTTGCTAACTAAACATCCAGATATTGCTATAGAGTTGTGATTTATAAAAAAAAAAAGAGCTATTGCATGAATTTAAACGGGATAAGATCAGGGCATCAAAAACATCTGAAAGTGGACAGTGTTACAGGTACTGACTCCAGGTGTGTGTGATGATATTACTGCTGGATGGTATCAATAAAAAGCAAAATCATCTTTATTCCCAACTCTGTCATGTTATTGCAGTATCCGATGATGTTTAACTTTGCATTAAAGTGAACGTGAATCAGAAACAACAACATATTTACAAATGAAATATGGTATTAGGGAAGGTCTCTGTCATTGTTTCGCACAATGATAAGCAGGGTTGGTGAGAGCGGGAGATGAAACATGATATTATTGGTTAATATTTTTTCCCTGCCCACTAGTGTACGGTGATGTAATCGATACTCAGAAGATGTTTTATCACTGCCAGGTTTAGTAAGCATGGCTAACGTAACACAGCATGCTAATACAACTGAGGCGCTAAATTTCAAACTCCATTTGAGAGAACTCATTTTGAAAAAAATGCTGTTTATGATGTGCTTAATGCCGGTAATATGCATTGTCCAGCTGTCTGGACCTGGCTTGTAACATACGATTACTCATGTTTAGCAAGCTGAGCATTCTCCACAAGGGAGAACTACTTTCGCGTTAGTGGCTTTTGTGTGCATCAATTAGAATGGAGGACTTGCATAAATAAAAACTGTGGAAACAAAGGTTATGATATGAGGAATATTTGTTTCATTGGCTGGCTTGTGGATGACTACTGGGAATGTAGCTGCAGGAGTGCTATGGAAGAATGGAAGTTAGCTTCAGTGACAGCATGAATAGGACAAGGCAGTAGAGTTTGGTATGAGACTGGGCCGCTGTGTCAGAGCGATGAATGAACTGCTCTCCAGTTGGCAAAACCACACCATGCAAATGCCAGGCACATGAACCAACAAAATAAACCAGTCA